AAGTAAGTAAGTCAGTAAGTAAGTAAGTAAGTAAGTAAGTAAGTAAGTAAGTAAGTAAGTAAGTAAGTAAGTAGGTAAGTAAGTAAGTAAGTAAGTAAGTAAGTAAGTAAGTAAGTAAGTAAGTAAGTAAGTAAGTAAGTAAGTAAGTAAGTAAGTAAGTAAGTAAGTAAGTAAGTAAGTAAGTAAGTGAGTAGGTGAGTTGGTAAAGTAACATAAAGTAGGAGGAAGTAAGGCCAGGTAAAGTAAAGTAAAGAGAGAACGCAAAATGCAGTGAAAATATCAAAGTAAAGTTATTTAGGTGGTGTTGAGTAAAGTGGAATCATGTAAAAAGAAATAAGTAAATTTAAGAAAAGAAGTAAATTTAGGCAAAGTAAAGTGATGTATGCTTGTTTTTTTGTCTGTCTGTATGTATCCAAGTATGTGTGTATGTTTGTATGCAACTATGCAAAAAAAATGTTTGTATGTTAGTATGTAAGTGAGCAGTGTGTTGGTAAGTTAATTCGTAGGTTTAAGTAAGTTTGAAATTAGGTATGTTTCAGTAAAGTAATGTAAAGTAAAGTTAAATACATTGAAATAAATCAAACATGACAGTGATCAAGCAAAAGGGCAAAAAACGCCAAGTGAAAAGAGGTTGAATCGGAAGTAAATAAAAAAATAAAATTTGAAAGTTAGGTAGAGACAGTAAATTAAGTGAGGAAGTAGTTGAACAAAAAAGAATAAGTAAAGCATAAGGAAGCCATAAAACAAACAAGTAAATAAATAATTTGATAAATGCTAAATAGGCAAACCAGAAAGTCAGCAAGTGTTACTAGAATTACTGAACGACTCAATTGAACCCGTATCCAAACCGTGAAACCGTTCTCAAGGCCAGTAACTAAAAAGAGACTGCTGAAATGTTTTCATTTTCAAAATTCCAGTTATTTTGTTTCTCAAAATTCAAATAATTATTCTGGCAGAGGAAAAAATAAGTTTATTTGGGATCGATGGTTTGTAGACATATGGTGGTGTGCACATGACAGAGCTAAAAAGTTAGGTAGAGCTAAAAAATTAGGTGTTCAAAAGTTAACTGCATAACCTTTTTCAGGTAAAATATTCAATGACAGATTTTTGGTTTATTCAAGTTATTGAAAAGACAGAGAACTATTCCCTTCGAATGGCCCAGAAAGCTGTGTTTATAGTTCCTGGGCATTGTATAACATTAAGTTGGACACCCCTGATAAGTTAATTTTTAAATCCGGCTGCATCGTGCAATAAAGCGTGCAATCATAAAAATTTGGAGTCGTTCAAGTATTTTTCCAAGGCACAGTTTTTCATACCAATCAAGCCACAATAAGGTCTCTGAATTGAAATGTCACAAATAAGGTTATTAGAACAAAAAAGAATGAGAAAAAGCTAGTAAAATTTTCTTTTTTAGAACTGTCATAATAAGTTTATCAGTTTGTGTTAAGTACGTATACATTTCTTGAGTTACTTCTAATTCAATTGCAGTAACTCGGTTTTTCCTAATTTCAATGTTTTTTTCCAACGCCTCTCCAAGCTGCTAAATTTCAGCCATTGGAGATAAAAGACACCAAGGAGATACTTTTAGACTTGTCTAGTTTCCGGCGGTAAATAACCATCTGAACTTTCGGAAACTTTCGCTAACTGCCAAGTTTCTACTCATCCTTTCCCCATTGAAAGTTCCATTCTCCTCTAGAGAAATACAGCATACTGTTTTTGCCCGGTTTGCAACTTTGAATTTTTTTTGTATGGTTGAAAACCCTCTAAATTGTAAAACTTTATTATCAAAATCTTTAAAACACCAAGTTCCCTCTAATTTCATTTTTCTCGCTTCAAAGTTTGGCAAGTTTCTCATTTGCTATAAGTTGCCCAGAAACGGCCGCCGCCTTTGGAGAGTATTTCAATTTACTGCCTTTTCACCATAAAATATAGGTCAAGTTAAGGAATCAGTTTACTGCTGCTAACAGTTAAGCTACGCTGCCAAAATATCCGGCGAATTTTTATTATATACCATAAAAGTCAATTCCCCAATCACTAACAAATTTCAACTAGGTCGAAAATTAATTTGCCGGAAACAAATTTAACAATTAATATGATTCATATAATTAGCCAGGAGCAATATTTAGGACCCCAAAAATTGGAATTAGAAAAAAATTTGTATCGTGTCCCTTGTTGTTAAGCTAAGCTTAGCAAGATCCTAGGTAGGGGTTTCTGCTGCTTTTTTGGTGGAAAATTTCTTTCGTTTACAAAATCCTAGGATGAGGGTCCACCAAAAAATTAAGGGCCCCTTTCCTAGGATTTTGCTTTACGTGAGGACCTCCCCTTAGGAAGGACCCCCCCCCCCCCCTTAGGATCTGGGACACGATACAAGACTACTCTAGACAGTTGTTCCTTTCTTGCTGGATTTTACAATTTTGGAAGAACTACATCCTTGTTATTTCAAATAGTAGAATATGCTAGTAAAATTTTATGTTTAACCATCTTTGCTGTTTAGTTCGGATTCCGGTAGCTGCAACCCGACATGTGATTGGGGAAACGGAGACATACAAGAATACACTATATCCAGTGTTGCTGCCCCCGGAACTAAGGTCTTCATATCCGTGCAAGCATACGTGTTATACGAGGGTTTTGAGAAATTTACGGGAGACAAAGTTGAATTGTGGTTTGGTACCAAGCCAGAAAGAGCTATTGTTACTCACTCAACGACTACAACTGGAGTTTTCCTAACCATGTCTCTGCCCAGGGGAAGAACGGACGGATGGAAAGTGACGTAAGCAAAGTATTGATCAACACTTTTCATTGTAATGATTTTTTAAACTTACTTCAGAAATCAGAAAAAATTCAACAAATCAGAAGTTGAATAATGGAGGGCACCAACTAAAATTTACTTCGGCGAGAAAAAAAAAACATTTTACCTAAGCAGAATTTTTTGTTAAAAGTGAGAACTGTGGAATTTGAACTTAGTTTCTTTGGTCAATTTTGACAAAAAGTGTTTATTCAATCAACTGTTGGTTAAAAAAATTGTAATGATCTATAACACTTTGGATCATTTCGTGACCAATAAGTTTTTCAGCTCCCTTAGCGCAGGATCTTGTACATCACCGTGCGAGCTGGGAGAAACTACGACCAGTCATGAAGTTCAAGGATTCATTCCGGGATCTCTACAAGAGATATCGGTTGTTACCCACATAGCAGTTCCCGTTTACCCCAGGATACAAGGAGAGGCGTACAATTTCTTCGTAACTCTGATTCCGGCCACGCCTACCTGGACTGCGTCTCCATCCTCTACTAGTGATAGCATCACAGTCTACTACTCAGTGGAACATCAGATAAGCGGAGTTCACCTTGAGTAAGTAAAGTCCCGCAGTGGCAAAATGGATTAAAATTGATTATATACTGAAAGATCTACAGATTAACGTAAGTATAGAATCGATTTATCTGCAACCAGTGTGCGAGCGATAATAGATTCTGAGCAAATGGAATCCATTTTTTTCCACCAAAAATAAATGGATTAAAGTGCCAAAATAATCAATTTTTCTATTGTGTAAAACCTGTATATAACCTGTAGATAGTCTGCATATAGTCAGTTTATAATCATTACATAATAACACCTTTAGATTATCTGTAGATAGTTGGTATATAATCTGTATAAAATCTGTACAAAATCTGTACAACTGTATCAAATTGATTATTGCCTAAAAACTGTAGGTGTAACAATTTCAATTTTGATCATTCAACAAAAATTTGCAATCAGGAAAAATTTTCCTGAGTATTATAGTGAGCTGAACTCACTTAAGGAAAAATGATTACCGCAAGCTACAAGTTTCAAGAGATCCCTCTAAGATTTCGCAATCTAAGGGTTTTCACGAAAAAAAAAGTAATTTTGTGCAAAACTTCTTCAAATGCCATTTAAAATATCAACCTGCAGCGCAATTTTGTGCGATAAAAACATCAATAAAAAATTAGAAAAGCTATCGGAGCCATTTTTTTGCTGCAACTTATTTACGCAATAAGGAATTTACTTTTTTAGATCAAACATCATCACAAAACTTTCAAGAAAAAGCTTACATTTTATCTTTATTTCAATATACTCATTCTATCTGATTGGCAAGAGTGTTGAGAAAATCAGTGTATAATCTGTAAAAATAATGTATTTAATCTGTTTATAGTCTGTATTTAATCTGTATGTAATCCGTATGTTTTCCTTAGATAATCTGTAGATAATTTTTATTTAATCTGTTTTAGAGTATTTTGGAAAAAATTTAGTGTTTTGGCAAAATTTGCTTCAAAAGTTTTCAAATTTAGCACACTAATTGAGACGTTCAGAACAAGTTATTTATTTAAAAACTCAATCGTTTCCATAAAATGCTTCTGAAATTTTGTAGTTTTATTTACAAATGCAAGTGTTCAAAGTAACTTGAAATGATCAAAGTTTGAGACACTTGAAAATTTTACCAATTCAAGTTATCAAAACAATTTCAATCTTTCAATGTTCCACATTTTTATAGATTTATTCAAAAACTTGGACTGTTCAAGTTTCACTTATTCATGTAATTTGCCTCAAAATTGCAATTTTTTTGTCACGTTGATCAAACCATCAAGTTAATTGAAATCATACCAATGTGTTGAAAACTTCACTTCAAGTTAACGAACTTGCTAGTTCGTTTCAGAAGCACTGATGAAATTGCTCAGTGTCACCAATATTGACAAAAAATGGTTTGTTTCGTTCTCAGCTTTGTATCTTTTTTTTTAACAAAAGGGGCATGTAGGATAAAGTTCGCTTTGAGAATATCGTCATATCGCATAATCGATTACCTGCCCTGGTAAAGATATTGTACGAGGAGAAGCTCTCATTTGCTTTTTTCTTCTAATCTACCACAGCCTGACCAATTTTGGCTGCAACGGTGGTACTACATGAAAATTCTAGACTAAAAAAATGTTGAGTCCTAAAAAAGAGCCTCTCTCAACAAGATAAATCTGCCTGGCAAATATTAGAAAACGCACTAAGTTCAGACAGGCATGATAGCCTTTCATAGTTTCTCTGCAAATCGCTGAAACCCTAATTAATATGTTTTAGCTCAGATTTTGGTAGCTGCATTTCCGTTTGCGACGCTAGCGGTTTAACAACATACACAGTAACTGGAATTGATCCTGGAACAGTCACCAAGATAGGCGTTCAGGCATTCATATTCCATGGTTCTCAACACGGTCGACATTTTGGAGAAAAACTAGAACAAGACTATGCGACAAAGCCAGTGGTACCGTCAGCAGTCAATTTTGCTAATACTGAGACTACTATTTCCAGCTCATTTGTTCAATCTGCTGGACATGCAAACGGATGGCTTGTGACGTAAGCAACTCGAGATCTGCTCGTCCTCATGCTTAATGATAACTCAAAATTTCAACTAGCGCAAAAAAATGAACCTTGGTTTTTGATCATTTTTTTTTTAAAATGTGATAATAAATTTTAAATTTTTTTCGCAGAATACGTTTTACATTGATGTTTTTTTCTTAGAAACTCAAAAAATGAACTGTCCAGATTTGTCTATAACCTGTTTTCTAGCTCATCAGGTGGATCATGCACGGCCGGTTGTACGGTTCAAGCCTCGAGTCCTCACGTAACTATTAGCGGATTGCTCCCAGGCACAGAGTATAGTATAACAGTGGAACCCTTCGCAACAGTCTCAGCTGGAGTCACAGTAATGGGCGTAGTTTATCAGAGTGCTTGGTCAACAGCACCCCCTGCAGGTAAGCTCATCATACGAGTAAAATTGTTAAGTGGGTATACCCAAAGTTATAGATATATTGACCCCCTCAAGTGTATTTTTCAAGGGACACTGACATTACGGTTAAGGAACTTCAGATTCCCCGCATACTTCCACCTGCACACACGTAGATAGCTTAATACTAATGCAGACACACTGATTTAATTCTCAACCTCAAACAACTGATTTAATGTGGCAACACTTGTTTTTCTGAAATTTTGCAAATTTTGAATTATATCATTCTTTTTACCTGATACTTTTAGGACTAATCAGGCGCAGAACTAAGATTTTTAAACGTTTTTCAAGTTTTTGCCAATTGTTTTTGGTCGCAAACCAAATTGATTACCGAGCTCTCCTTGAACACTATAAAGACCATATGCAGCAACAAAAAATGTGTCATACTTGTTACAAAAATTCTGTGTGGCACTTGTTGAAAAAAAATTGTTTCGCACTTGTTGCAAAAAAAAAAATTTGCCACATTTGTTGCAAAAAATTTCCGTGCGAATCTGTGAGGATTTGCCAAAAAGTTGTGTGTCAAACTTGTTGCAAAAAATTCTGCGTCCCACTTGTTGCAAAAAAAATCTGTGTTGCACTTGTTGCAAAAAGTTCTGTTTCGCACTTGTTGCAAAAAATTCTGTGTCGCACTTATTGCAAAAAAATTCTACGTCGCACTTGTTGCAAAAAAATTCTGGTTCCCACTTGTTGCGAAAAATATATTTTTTGGGCATTTAAAACGAAATCGATTTCATGGAACTAATTAACGACTTAGTTTGTTAAAAAATTTTAATAACAATCCAAATTGAAACATAGTTTTGTGTCTGTATTTATGCTTGCGATTAGCAAGCCGGAATATAGACTTTTGTTCAAGTTAGAAACTTGCCAAGCAGAATTACTTGAATATTTTGCATCTTGGTTCATGATGAGTTTAAATTTTGGTGCGTTCCCGGGCGTTTTACCTTGGAGGTTACAAATATGCCTGGGACGGCATAGGTCCAGGGTTCGAATCTGTCCAGGACCTATTTTTTCTAGCCTGATTTAATCTTTTTCAATTAAAAATGCCGGTTAATTATTGCCTGCTTATCGGTTCTTAGTTGTCACATCTTGAAATTGTGGTTTTTTGCTGAGCGCATTTTTCTTTAATGTTGATTTTAGTATTTACTCCTACAGTTTGTAATTTTACTAAGCTCGACTTCGTATTTTCTTTTCTGTTTTTTTTTGCATAAAAAGTTACTCGGCCCAGATTTTTTGGTCCAATTTGCAGGCAGAATGGCTTGTATTTGGGTGGTCCAGAGTAAACACAACTTTAACACTCACGTACTTACTTTTTAAGTTGATGAAAGTTTGTTGAAGTTTCTCTTTTTTCGTGATGAAAATTTATTTCCTTTTTTATCGGAAAAATTTAAGTTTTCCCCAGAAATAACACCTGATTTTTAAAATAGTGGTGTCCATTGAAGAACCGCTTACTTCTCTGTGTGCCTCTATACTCCCCTTTTTACTTGACCCCTCTGTCTACAGCCTTCAAAAAACGATTCGGGGGAAATAATTGACCCAATTATTTTTTTTCTTTATACACCATTCTCAAATAAGATATTTTGGTTTCAATAAATAGGACGGTTTCGAAAAAGTCCTTGAAAATGCCGCTACTCCTAAATTTCACGGATGTAAAGGTCAGGCCCTCGTAATAGTCAACTTTTGATTTTCGACCGTTTGCGAATCTTTTTTGTTTTTTCAAGAAAACTAACCTATCAAATGTGATATTATGGATTCAATGGAGATAAAGTGTAATGTGAGGCTCCCTTTCCTTGGGGATCACTCACAAATATTTCTAAAAAAAAGTTACCACCGCCCTCAGAAAAGTCCTTGGGCATTTTTGATTTTTGACCGTTTGTTAGACATTTTGAAAATGATCGAAAACTACCCTGCTTTATCTAAGATTTTAAGTTCAGTTCAAAAAACGGGTTGTGAGAAGTTATTTGCCATGAAGACTACGCCAAATTTTTTTAAAAAACCCAAAGTTACGGCCCTCGGAAAAGTAAAAAAGTTGATGTTCGACCGTCTTGTTAACCTTTTTGTTTTGTCCCAAAAACTAACCCAGCAAATTCCATATTGTAGATTGAGAGTACTGCAGTCGCTTTCTATTGGGGGGTCACTTAAAAAAAAATTTCACATAAAAAGTTACCGTTCATCGAAAAATTCTAGAAAATTTTTGATTTTTGAGCGTTTCTTGGACTTTTCGAATATTCTCAAACATTACACTGCTTTATATGAGAATTTGGCTTCAATTCAAAGAACATCCGATTTCTATAGTAATTTCGGATGCAGTTCTTGCATTTTTGCAGGATCTTGGGACTTCTGCAAGGTCATTCATGAGGGAGACTTTATCAAAATTTTTCTGACACCGAAAGTTTTGACCTTCGGAGAAGTCAATTTTTTTTGTTGACCGTTTCCCGAATCTTTTTGCATTTTTCTCAAGAACCGACCTCTCAAATTTGATGTTTTGGATCCAATGAAGACAGCGGGGAGTGGGAAATTCCCCTTGTTTAGCAGTTTTTCACAAAAGTTTGTACACAAAAATTTACCGTCAAATCTCTGCATTTTTTAGTTTTCTACTGTTTTAAGATTTTTTGAATATTTATCTAAGGTTTCATGTTGAATTCAAAGAGCGATTTCTGTGAATGTCATTTGCTTTAAGACTACGCAAAAAATTGCCTGACACCGAAAGTTATGACACTTGAAAATTTCGATAAGGGATTTTTCGATGTCTTTTTGATTTTTCTCTTAATAAGTTTTCTCTAGAACTAACGGCTCAATTCTGAGCTTTTTGGTTCAATCGAAAACACGGGTTGCGTGAATCCCGTCTGCATAAACACAAAAAGTTATGAATCTTGGAATTGTCAAAACTTTGATTTGTTTTATGTGTTTTTTTTTGCTAACTATCCGGCCAATCTAAAGGAAAACGTTTATTTGAAACAACAGGTTGCTCCAAGCTTTAATTCATTTTTGTTTGTTTCCAATTTAATTAGGAGAAAAAATATGGCCCTCAAAGGAAATAAGTTTCTGGATCTTCCATCCACGCAAAATTATTAGGAAGTTAAAAAAGCCAACAGCAGAACAAAAGCACTCAAATGAAGGTTACTCGAAAAGTTAACTCCATTATCAAACAGCAAACAAGTAAAGATAACAAAAAAACTTGATTAATTTATAATTTCTTAAGTTGAAGTTAATTTTTAGATTTCACAGCGGAATACAAGTTTTACCGAACAGTCCAATTTTTTTAAATTGAGTTAGCATTATCAAAAAAGTGATCATCCCAAACTGCAGTTGAAATTCAAAGGGCTGTAACGCCATCTATCATTTTTTTAAATATTGTAAGTTAAATTTTTTAAAAAAGAACAAGTGTTTTTTTTTCATTTACTTGTGTTTTTTTTTTTACTCTTTTCCAACAGTCTGCTGGATTTGTTTCCAAAAAAAAATCAGTTTTTTTTCTTCTGTATACTTGCTTACATTGATTTTTACCCACTGTCTGTTGGCTTTGTTTTCAAACTTATTTTTATCTATACTTGCAGTAGCAGTATTAGAGTGGGTTAAGCACGAGGGGCTTCTCTCAGGTATTCGACTCTTTAGGTACGATTTTCCGACATTCATTATCGGTCGAGGCTAATACTGCTCCAAAGGCTGGTTTGGCTTCAATGTATGATAATTTGCGCCGGAATAAAACGCTTTTTGTTGTAGTCCAAAAAATTGAGGGAAAGCATATGCTTAATGTTTTTACATTTTCATAACCTAAATTGTTCAGGGCACATATTTAGCAACAAACATTTCAAAAAAAACATCCAATTTCTATAGTAATTTTGGATGCAGTTCTTGCATTTTTACAGGATCTTGGGACTTCTGCAACATCATTGTTTTAAAATTGTAAGACTGTTTAAATATCTTGTACTTTGTCTAAAAAGATGTTAAGACAACCACCCGGGTTGACCTCCATAGACCAAAAATGCTAATTATACAATTCCATAAACTAAGTCTATGAAAAAATACTAATCATACAAATTTCATACATTTTGCTCAAATGGTGTCATAGAATTTTCGAAGAACTTTTCTCTTGTTTTGGCATAAATTTTGGTGTACCGTACTAAATAAAAAAGAAAAAATTTTTGTCAAACTGGTTGCAAAAAATTCTGCATCCCACTTGTTGCAAAAAAAATCTGTGTTGCACTTGTTGCAAAAAGTTCTGTTTCGCACTTGTTACAAAAAAATCTCTGTGTCGCACTTATTGCAAAAAAATTCTACGTCGCACTTGTTGCAAAAAAATTCTAGTTGCCACTTGTTGCGAAAAATAATTTTTTTGGGCATTTTATACGAAATCGATTTCATGGAACTAATTAACGACTTAGTTTGTTAAAAATTTTTTATAATAATCCAAATTGAAACATAGTTTTGTGTCTGTATTTACGCTTGCGATTAGCAAGCCGGAAATTAGACTTTTGTTCAAGTTAGAATTTTGCCAAACAGAATTACTTGAATATTTTGCATCTTGGTTCATGATGAGTTTAAGTTTTGGTGCGTTCCCGGGCGTTTTATCTTGGAGGTTACAAATATGCCTGGGACGTCATAGGTCCAGGGTTCGAATCTGTCCAGGACATATTTTTTCTAGCCTGATTTAATCTTTTTCAATTAAAAATGCCAGATAATTATTTGCCTGCTTATCGGTTCTTAGTTGTCACATCTTGAAGTAGTGGTTTTTTGCTGAGCGCTTTTTTCTTTAATGTTGATTTTAGTATTTACTCCTACAGTTTGTAATTTTACTAAGCTCGACTTCATATTTTTTTTCTGTTTTTTTTGCATAAAAAGTTACTCGGCCTAGATTTTTTTGGTCCAATTTGCAGGCAGAATGGCTTAAATTTGGGTGATCCAAAGCAAACACAACTTAAACACTCACGTACTTACTTTTCAAGTTGATGAAAGTTTGTTGAAGTTTCTCTT